ATATATAATATACTTAAATATAATATATGTATCACTTTTGGGGTGTTTCCCAGTCTACCGAAACGACGACGCACAAACCACAGCACAGATCAATCAATGTTGAACAGGCAGGACGTCCAAAATGGATGAAATGTATAACGCCACAAGTATTAAAAAGATCAACAGCATTATAAACGACCCATCTCACCCCCTTTCCACGAACATTGTCAGCGGCAGATATGTACCTCTAAAACAAGGAAAGAAAGATATTGTAACAAGTTTGTTACCATCAAGTATAAAACTACTATCAGAATAAACATCAACGTGTATTGCTCTTTCCAGTATGTATCTATATATTACTCCAGAGGTCTTGTAAATTCCTGCATGTGGTCTGATGTGATAGATCTATGTACATTTTGTCAGCTGTACTTCTCTTTTCATACTGAATTTTAATGAGAGCAATATCTATGATCTATTTGTGGTGGCCGAATGGTGCTATTCAAAAGGCTTTTTAATGGCTGCATCGATCCACATGCGGTTTTCGCCGAAAGATCCTGTAAAATATTCTCCAGATCATGACGCCTTTCCGTTTTTTTCAGTTTTGAGACAGATTTGCTGCAAAAAGCTAAATTTCTTTATTTCGCCGATCGCCATTGTAGGCCGACGCACTGCTCCACACCTTTGACATTCTGGAGTGTACAACCACGAAGGCGGAATAGAGAATCCATCTATCCATCTGGTATATATTTGGCAACTTTGAAACACATGTGTCACTTTTCTCTCAAGATTTATTGCTCCATTCCAGTAGAGAGTAACATTAATGTACATGTAGTCGGCCCATGACTTTCAGTTGATGTTACTGCACCGGTCAGTCCTTTCAGCGAAAGGGGGCCCAGCTAGTATAAGTTAAATTTCTATGTTTAACTGGACTGTCCTGTCTTGTCTTGTCTTGTCTTGTCTTGTCCTGTCCTGTCCTGTCCTGTCCTGTCCTGTCCTGTCCTGTCCTGTCCTGTCTTGTCTTGTCTTGTCTTTTCTTGTCTTGTCCTGTCCTGTCCTGTCCTGTCCTGTCCTGTCCTGTCCTGTCCTGTCCTGTCTTGTCCTGTCCTGTCCTGTC